TTTTGGAAGCAGCTCAATCTAAGCTTGTGATTGATTCATTGTCTAGTGCTGGGATTATGAGTGTGAGCGCTACACCCACCCTAGAGTGTGTAGCCTACATACAACGTAAAACAATATTGTTTCTACATCCAATAAGACGCTCCTCCTTTTTTGCTCTTGCTCTTCCCGTCTTCCACTGCCATGAACTACCCCCCTTTGCCACACCACTCTGCCTTGCAGCCAGCTGAGCATGGACTGAAACCTTCACAAACTAAATAAACCTTTCCTCCATGAACTTTGGGTGTCAGGTATTTTGTCTCAGTTACGAGAGAAAAGTAACTAAGACATTCCCAACACAAAGAACTGATTACCCCTCATGACCTTCCCCCACTAGGGCTCTGGATTAATACACTGGTGAGGTCAGAAAGCACAAAGTAATGTTCAGAATAACCTACAACCTTTGAGGGACGTTTTATATGCGAACCACAGAAATAGTTACACGCATACAGTAAGGTTTCTTTATAGAATATTATTTAGATTTGAAATGAAAGAAATCCTTTCATTTGTGACCATGTAGATGGACCAGAAATCAGTCCATGAGGCATATCAGCTGTAGACAGCTTGACTGCACTTGACTGCAGTTATCATCCAAAGTTGCAGGCCTGTGAGGCAGGCCGCACCGGGGAGGCCTTTGTGGCTGCAAGGGGAAACTGAGGGATGCTCATGAAAAGGCGCCACGTCACTTGTGTATAGTACAGGAGACTTGCAGATCCTGTGCTGGCTGCAGTAATGGCTACAGTGTCCCTCACACAGTTTTAATTTGCTGAGAGTTGTGTTCATTTTTCTCCCTGCCTATCCAAAAGATAAATGCTTGAAGTGACAGATATGCTATAACTAGAAAACTTGTGGTAATTCATTTATAATGTAAGCATACAGCAAAACTTGAAACTGTATATGTAATTTAATAATGTTATGCTAAATAAAATGAAAATTTATTAAGAAAAAAAAGAACTGATTAGTATCTGTAGTGACACACAAGCCAGTCACCATGATCC